CCACCATAGATATTTTTCCACCTTGGAGATGTTGGAAATTTCCCACCATGGTTAATTCAAGGCGACTCGAATGTGTGTATGTGCTTTGGACGACGATAGCCGCTGTTAGTCGCTGAGTGCGGTGCGCTGCGATCAAACGCGGGGGCTCTGGTGCCGTTACAATATCAAGGTAGTGTGCAAAATATGAACAGATGGCTGATGGATGGACGGTGGAGAATATGTTGGAGGGTGTGGTGTGGTGGCTGGCGCCGCCAAAGAGATTTTTCGCCTAGAAAATGTCAGAAATGTGTTGCACTCAAAACTTGAGGCGGCCCAAATGTGTTCCTTCGAACTCATCCCAACGCGACTCGGTATCCTGAACCAATTTCAAATGTACAGTTCAGTGGGTGGCTGGTGAAGTTATGTGTTTTGGTGAATATAACTATAAGCGAATCTGCTGAGGGCGCGTATCATTGTGTTGTGGGTTGACGGGCACTCTGATATCGGGTACAGTTGACTTGGATCTGGGGCAGGAAAGGGTTTTTTTTAGGAGGTGGTGTGACGTGGCATGCGTATTTTACATCTATAGCCCGACTATGGGTATTCGCGAGAAAATTGTGCGTGAAGTGCGGGATTGCGTTGAAATCGTTACTAGATTTGTGAACGGAAGGTTCAGGTGCTCTCGCAGTTCCTTTTTGTTCCTTGCGAATATGATCGGGGCAGCTGAAAATGACAAAGTGGTGATTTAGAAAAGATCATGCGAGCCAATAGAATTGGGGGGTGTTTCTCGCCCTCATCCGCCACCCTCCAGCTCATTCCCCGTCCAGCTCATCGCCGAGGCTGGGAAGATCGATTACATTCTTGGATTTCAGATGGCGTTCCCACGTTTGCCCGCCATCGAAGTCACCCCATCAGGCTCGATATTGGGCGGGATGGTGTCCAGAGTGGGGTACTCTCCCACTCTGGACACCCTGTAGTTGCGATCTGCGCGATCCCAATTGCGAATCGCACAAACACTTTAGGGTTCGCGCCCAATGAAGACGTTCATTTGACAGTCGCGCCAACTCAACGACTACTGCGCATACACAGTGACGACCCTTTCGCGGTCAAACTCCAGAATTTGGGCAATGCTGCCGCACTGCGCAAAACAACCTGCCAAACACAAATTGAAGCCATGAGAGTCCCCTGGAGGAGCATCGCAACCCCAAAACTTCAAGCCCGAATAGGCAGAGCACAAAACCACTCGACTACAAAAGCAAGTCGCTGCTACCTACAACTATCACACTTTCATAGATCTCCAGTACCTAGCAACCATGGCTCCCAGGAGGAAACGCGCTGCTGTAACGCCCACAATAGCAGAGGAAGAAGTCGAAGTTCCTAAGGTTGACACTCCGTTCGTCGCATGGATGAAGGAGCAGGAAGCTGCGGGCATAAGGAAGGGCCGACTCGTAGGTGTTACCGATCACCGTGCTCCACACGTCACGACCGCATCGGCGACGTTCTCGCCTTCTGTGGACGGTGGTGGTATTGGCACTGATGTTGACAACGACAACTACGATGGCCTTGATGCGGCGAACAACGTGGACAGTGACATCGACACATACTACGACTCGGACGGGTACACCGGCGCCGACGTTGTCGATGATACGGAGGGCGGAGACACGCCTGCTGAGGAGGCTGGGTCGTCGCGTAAAGGCAAGCGTAAGGTGGCGCCTGGTCGATCGAAGAAATCGCATTGGAGCGAGGAAGAGCTTACCGAATTCGCTGCGGCTATGTGGTTTTGCAAGGACGACTTCGACAAGATGAAAGGCAAACAAGGGGCGCAGCCATGGAAGAAGCTTCGTCGCGTGTTACGCGATGCCAACCCCAAGTGGCGCCGCCCGTCGGACTCGATGATGAAGCAGTGGCCGCGGTTGAAGGCGAGGATGGAGGAAATCAAGTTGGCGGATGCGACCTCGGGTAACTCGTTGATGCCAAAGCCCGAGTGGTTCGACTTCGTCTTCAACTGTTGTTTCGCCGATCGCGCCCCGAATCCGCACGTGGTGGACGAGGGAGGCGCGCGCACTCAGCACGCTGTCCCGGGTACCTCCACGCCTGTGGTCCCGGCTAGCGTAGCCCCCAATGGTACCCAGCCCGCGCCTGCATCGGTTGGGCCTGCTGCAGCCACTAATGAAGGTAAGCTCAATGTGTTTTTCTGTTATTTAAGTGCACTCTTTTTTATGATCAGTGGGTCGAAATAAAAACAGCTACAATCTTGTCATCGGCAACAACTATACTAACTACCACTACGTACTACCAACCCTTTCACCTAACATCAGGTCCCAATGCTTCTCCGGCCCGCATTGCTGTGAGGAGGCGGTCCATGGAGTCGCCTGCATACGCGGGGCACCTCTTGGTCGCTGACACGATGACGAGGATCGCCGGCGAACGGGCGGCGCGGCAGGCCGCATCAATGGACCGCCTCATCTCTGTCCTTGAGCGCATCGCGGTGCCGCCACCTCCTGTCCCCGTCGCCCCAACCCAGCCCCCGGTCTCCACACCCCGGAACCCTAACGAGTCCCCACCTAATCGTGCTCATTTTGATGCGCACACCTCGGCCGGCACGCCGCCTTCTCACACGGCGTGGTACAACCCCACGATGCAGACCCCATTTGCAGCGCCACGACCCGCTGGCGTTCCAGCAACCGTGCAGCCCCCTATGATCCCGCCCGGCCACGACATGTCAACGGCGCGTCAGCTGTATGCAGGGGCGCAGCCCGCGGTCGCCATGGACAGCAATGGGAACTGGTTCTTTACTGGCTCCCCGTCTGGACTGCACGGCCCTCATGCCGCCTAAGCCATGCCGAGTGGATATGCACGCCGAAATGGCGGCGACGGGCCACAGCAGCATCTCTGGTCCGGACTGGTGAGGGCTCCCAAACGAAGCGCTGCACGCCTGGGCGCTCCCACCAGCGGTTGGGTCGTCGAGAAGTGTAGCTGCGCCACCATCCCCTTGCCCGCTTTGTGCACTCCCTCTGCTCCTCGATCATGTTGTGTAGGACAACAGCGCATCCAACCCCGGCACACACCCTCCACAGCTTGCTATCATGTCTTGAGGCGAAGATGCGCCAACGGTTTTTGAAGATTCCCATAGTTCGCTCCACTGCCATCCGAGTAGCCGACTGCACGTAGTTGAATGTCTGCTCCCATCCAGTCAGAAGCCTAGCTTTGCTTGCAAGCACGGGAACGAGGCAGTAGTCCTTCAATGGGTAGGCCGCATCACCTAGTAGTTGGTAGGGTTGTATGTCGCCATTGGCAATGCGTGTGTGTAATGCACTATTAGTGAAAACACGGCTATCGTGTGCAGAACCAGGCCAGCCCACCACGTAATCCCAGATTCTGCATCTAGCATCCACGGTGAGCTGGAGCTGCACCGAGTACATTTGCTTTCTGCAATAGTACTCTGTGCGGTACTCGTCAATGCCGCGCACTGGCAGATGCGTACCGTCAACCGCGCCAATCACATTAGGGACCCCCCTTGTTGCCCTGAACTCCGCCTCCATCTTCACCATCTCTTCACGTGATGGAAACCGCACCCAGTCGTTCTTGAAACGTCGGGGGAACGCAAGAAGGAATCAGTCGACAATGCGATGGCACACTGATTTTGGGACGCCGAAGAAGATGCGCATGTCAAGATATGACATGCCTGTAGCAAGGTATTTTATGGGGATCAACACACACAAACGAAGAGGAACCTGATGGCGTAAAGTCAGCTGGGAAAAATCATCTGTCATGTGAGCCTCTAGGTGCTCCATTATTGCACGATTAATTCGGAACAGCGCCACAAACTCGGCCTCCGTCATCTCCTCAATTCGACACAGCCACCCCGCCATTGTCGCTTCCCTGCGTGCCCTGGTTTCAGTAGACATGGCGGATTGAGACGGCCGGGAAGGTCCCTCATTATCATCCGTGTCGATCATTTGCATCGCCAGTTGAGAGAGCAAGTCGTCCGTCTCTGCATCGTCGTCCGCCTCCCATTGCAGAAAAGCCGCTATCGCAATCGCTATCGCGGTGATGTCCAATGCCATGGCTGTTCGTTGTGCTGTTAACAAACCTAGTGATCAATTTATGCATGTGTGTGGTACCTACGACTACTGGTTTCAAGAGCTTCGGTGAGAAGGTGGAGGACGAAGTGCAGAAAGAGGCTTGCGCACGTCGGTGGAACAACATCACGGACGTGGGCGAAAGGCTGGGGCATCTCAAATGTTTACAAATGCCCCCGTTCGGATGCACGTACAGTCAATACCACAACTGCGTCGTGCGCCGTTGGATGAGTTCGCTCACGGTCGTGGATGCGGCATTGCACGACCAAAACCACATTACATGTTGATGGGCAAAGTTCGAGCCGCATTTGCCCCAATTTCCTCACATTATACAAATTGGCGAACCGCGTGGGGTGACTTCGATGGCGGGCAAACGTGGGAACGCCACCTCATTTCGCCGATTAGCGCGAATGCTCACCCTCGACTCTGCTTGCCGTAGACTTATATATCTCAGTCTTGCTATCGGTTCAGTGTTTGCCGCTTCCAACTGCTAGTACCAGAAGCCGCTTCCCACGTCTAGAAGCTGAGCGAGTTATGGTGTCTGTTTCATGTGAAATTAGCAGCCAGTAGTCGGAAGATCTAACGATTTCTAGGTTGCGAACCGCGGGAGCATTGACTTGCGGACGTATTAATAATGTCGATTTGCGGATACTTATCATGCCATCGCTTGATCGGCGTCGACTTGAGAGCGCGTCGGCATTGCGGGCTCTGTCGATCTCGTTAGGCAAGCGACGCGCAGCGCTCTGATCTGAACCGTTGCAGAAGACATGTGAAACGGGGAGGGAAAACATGAGAGGGAGGGAGGCACGGGATGCACTCAATATGGAAGGGAGGCAATAGACTGGCAAGAGGCGGCGAGGCAGGGCGGGTAAGGGAGAAGAGAGGTTCACGAACTTGTTACACACTCTCGCGAACCTCTGCTTTTGGCGAGCATGTTGCATGCCCTCGCGTAATGGAGAACGTTATATCGAAACACCATGTCGTGAGACCCCTCCGTTTCCCCCCTCCTCATCTTCCCTCGCACATCTCTCCTCCCTCTCTCCTCATCTCCCCTCGCTCTCTCGTCATCCCCTCCGCGCTCCCCTTGTCCCCCCCTCCCCTCTCCTCGCCTCTCCCCACTCTCACCACATCTCCCCCGCTCTCTCCTTAGCAACCCCCGCCCTCCCCTCGACTCCCCCCGCTCTCCCCTCATCTCCCCCCGATCTCCCTTCATCTCCCCCGCTCTCCCCTCATCTCCCCCGCCATCCCCCCATCTCCCTCGCTCGTCCCCCATTCGTCCCGAAAAAGCATCCCTCACCCCCCCCGCGTCTCACCCTCATCCTCCCCTCTGTCTTACCCTCATCCCCCCCGCGTCTCACTCTCATCCCCCTCCGCTCTCCGCCGCTCTCTCCCCATCTCCCCCGCTCTCTCCTCGTTTCCGCCCGCTCCCCCCCACCCCCTTGCTCTCCCTGTCATCTCCCCCCGCTCTCCCCTCATGTCCCGTTTGCCTCCCCTCATCCCCCCCCCCGCTCTCCTCTCGTCACTCTTCCGACTCACCCTAGTTCTTCTCCTGTTTACCTCTCATACCCCCTCCGATTCCTTCCTCCTTCCCCCTCCCCTTCTCGCTCGTCCCGCATCCCCGCTCTCCCCTCATCTCCCCTCGTCTCCCCTCATCTCCCTGCGATTTCCGCCTATGTCCCCGCCCTCACCCCTTCTTCCCCCTCAACCCTGTTTCCCCCCAAACACAGTCTCGTTCACCGCTCATCCCCTCCCCCCACCATGCCTCCTCTCCCCTCTCACTCGCTCCACATCCCTCCTCCCATCCACCCTGCGTCACCCCTCCCTCCCCTCGTCTTTCCCCTCACTCACCCCTCATTTCTCCCCATCCAGTCACCCCTCATGTTCCCTCCCATACATCCCTAACTCCTTCACCGCACCCCCCGTCGATCTATTTGTCACTCCCCCTCCGTTCACCTCTCATCTACCCCTCTCCCCCCAACCTTCCCTTGCTCTGCTCACGCCGCATTCACCCCTCAACCCCCTCCCACGTGACTCTCAACCCCCTCCCCCATGACCCCCAACCCCCAACTCCACCCCAAACACTGTCACCATCGTATGTTCTTCGGCAATATTCCGTAACATTGTCGTACATGTGTCATAGCAAACAGGATGAATATATCTATCCTTCTCTTTTCTCCCTCTCCCCTCCCCCCCTCTTTAACACCTCCCCTTGGCCCCGTCCCTTCCTCCCCTCACTCCTCCCCGCTCCTCTATTGGATTGCTTGTCGCTGCAGTATGTGAACCAACCAACCAACGGCTGCTCAGTTGCTGGTCTGATTTACACATGGCTGCATATGACTGGTTGCCCTTGCAGTGTATGAAATTACTCCACAGGTACCTACCGGGTAGACCGTGACTGCATGCAACTGGTTGAAACGTCAGGGGAATTTGCCTCTGACGGCCAAGAGGGGTCAATAAGATGGTCAAGCTGCTGTGGAGGCGGAAGGGTAGGGAGCTAGAAAGCTGGCAACAAGTTTTGGTTCTGACGTGTATCTCGTTGTACTGTTGAAACTAAACAGCTGGAGAATGAAAAAGTGCCTCCCTTTTGACGGAGTTCTTGCGAAGTTGAACTGAATCAACTCTCAGACCGTTTGGAGAGCTGGGAGGCACGCTTCCACGTGGTAACAGGCATGGCTAGGACTTTGAGAGTTACGCTTTTCCTAGCTCCTGAGTCCTAACTCCATAACTCCTCTGCGTCTCAAAAGCAACCTTTCTCGCAGCAAACCCCATCCCCCGCGCTTGGGACTCTGGATGCCAATCATCCACATGGGAGAAACCAAGCAGCAGCCTCCATATCAACCATCCAGACCACCAGCCTCCCTTCTCTTGGCAACACCACAGGAAGAGCCAGCAGCACAGCACGCATCAGGAAACCTGTAAGAACCCAGCAGCAGCCTCCGTATCAACCATCCAAATCAGGCTCCCGTCTCTTGGCAACACCATACTGGCAGGTAACCCAGTTCCCGCAGCAAACTCCGTCCCCCCTGCCTCAGACAGCCTCTCCAGCAGCTCCCTCTTCCCCTCCCCCATCGCCACCACCGCCACCACCGGGAGAGACAGGGTGATAACGACCGGAGGAGCCAGCGTCACAACACGAATCAAGAATCTTGTAAGAACCCAGCTGCAGCCTCCCTATCAACCATCCATATCAGTTCTCCATCTCGTGGCAGAACCATACTGGCAGGCAAACCAGTTCCCACAGCGAACCCCGTCCCCCCTGCCTCAAACAGCCTCCCGAGAAGCTCCCTCTTCCCCTCCCCCATCGCCACGACTGCCACCACGGCAGCTGACAGCAGCACTGGGAGGGTCAGGGTGATTCGGCAAGGGGGAGGCTTGGGGGAGTCAGAGAGATGGCGGCACCAGTGGCGGGAAGGGGCGGAGGGGGAGGCAGATGGGGAGGGGGAGGTGGAGACAAGGAGGGGGTGCGAGGGGAAGAGAGAGGCAACGTGGCCGTCCGGGCCCACCCCTAGAAGGATGAAGTCGAATCTGGGGAAGGGCGTATCTGCACAACAGGACAAAACGGGCAGACGCAAGGTGGTGTGGTTGAGACGAAGGGGAAGGGGGCAACCGTATGGGTCTGGTGCCACCCATCCCTTGAAGGAGACAGAAATAGCACGAAGATGTGGGTTCGAACCGCAGCAAGCGGACGAAGCAGGCCTAGCAGGGGTATAGCAGGCCTAGCAGGGGTATAGCAGGCCTAGCAGGGGTATAGCAGGCCTAGCAGGCCCAGGAGTCAAGCAAGCCTACCTGGGTGCATCAGGAGAACCCCAACATCCACACACTGCTTCAACTCGCGCTCGTATGCCTTTGCTGCTGCTTCAACTGAGGGTGACGGAAAGAGCATGCCTAGCAGGGCTAGCAGGATGAGCCACCCTATCTGGGTGTATCAGAAGAACCCCAGCCTCCACGCACTGCCTCAGCTCAAGCTCATACGCCTCTGCTGCTGCTGCTTCCACTGGGAGTGACGGAAACATCACTCCTAGCAGACATCGAGAGCAAGCCTAGCAAGGCTAGCGGGATGAGCCAGCCTCCTGGGTGCATCAGGAGAAAACCCCGGGTGAAGGTGAACAGGCCTGGCGGGTCGAGCAAGCCTACCTGGGTGCATCGGCAGAACCCCAGCCTCAACACACCGCGCCATCTCGCGCTCATACGCCTCTGCTGCTGCTTCCACTGGGAGAGAGTCGTCGAGAGTGTGGATGTGGGCGGATGGAATGGGCACCTGGGGAGAAGACCGAGTTGTTGTGGGCATACAAGGCAAGAGGGGGGGGGGGGGGGGTGGGGGGGGTGTAAGAATCGTGGAGAGTGTGGATGTGGACGGATGGAATGGGCACCAGGGGTGACGACAGGGTAGTTGCGGGCATACAAGGCAAGAGGGGGGTGTAAGAATCGTCTGTGCTGTTTATTTGCTGTCAGATGCACACTGTGGGGAAAGGAAGCACCTTGGAGAGCCAGTGCGTGTGCGCCAGCAGGTAGTTGCTGTCGGGGTGAGTCAGTGAGAGGGATGCTATTGGGGTGAGTCAGAGGCATGCTGTTTGCGTTGAATTACAGGCTTTCAAACGCTCTAGGACACACAGGGGAAAGGGAGCACCTTTGAGAGCCAGTGCGTGTGCGCCAGCAGGTAGTTGCTGTCGGGGTGAGTCAGAGGCACGGCCCGCTCGTCCACCCAGAACTCATGCCACCTGGACCAATCACAGCGAGCCGCGAAATCTGGATGCGCCAGCTGGCTGGTGTGGAGGAGAGAGCGGGCGGGGAGGAAGAGAGGAAGAAGGGGAGAGAAAGGGGTGGGTGGGGGGGGAGGAGCAAAAAGGACAGCGAGATTTGATGCCGTTTTGGAAGCTCTCTATGGCGAATTCAGTGTATGAGAAGTGTGAGGGACGAGAGGCGAGAAACAGCAGAGCAGCTCGGTGAATTTCATTGTATTTCATTGTGACAGCTGCACAAGATAGCATGGCTGGGGCAGCGTGGTGTCACTGCCACGTGGGTAATGCTTACCCCAGGCATTTAACGACAGATCCCCCTGAAATGGCGATGCTGAAAGAGCCATGCGCGGCTATGGCTGCCTGGATGGGCGGGTGTATGGATGGGGGTTGGATGAGGGGATGGGGGGATGGACGGGATATGTCACGACGGAGCCCCCTGAAATGGCGATGCTGAAAGAGCCATGCGCTGCTATGGCTGCCTGGACGGGCAGGGTGTGGGTGGGAACGGGGAAATGACGGGGATTGGCGGGCGAGGGGGAGGTGTGGGATGGGATGTGGATTATGGGGTGAGCGGGGGGGTGAGAAAAATGAGGTGCGATTGGGGTGAAAGAGCAGCGGGCAGTGAAGACGATGTGAGAACCTGTGAAAATTTTAGTCGTTACACGCATGAGAGTTGGTATGCCTCTCCTGGCTGCCTCACCTCGGAAGCTCTCACGATGACGTCAGCCAGGCCTCGCGAGATGTTGTCCGCGGACTCATGCACGCGAAGCTCTCCGGAAATTTCGCGCCCTTGGGTTCGAGTGGTGGGATGATAGGGGAGAAAGAGGTGGAAGAAAATTAATAAGTCATTCATAGTGAGGAGAATTCGGGGACCGCTAGAAAACAAAATGCGCCGAGAAATACGCCGCAGCATGCCTCACGGAGATGCAAAAGCCCGCACAGTACATCCAAATCAGGCGACAGTCCTAACTTCCATGTCAGCTTACACGAGAGGGGAATCGCGGTGTATTTCGCGTCCTCCATGGAATCTCCTGCAGTACGTGCTGGCCGTTTATCTCGTCCAAGTGTTACGGGTGCAATGAATCGAAGTAGCGAGAATTGCACTAAGGTGTCAAACGAGGACAAAATGTGAGCAAAGGCAAGCGAACATTTATACGCGAAACATGCAAATAGTAACGCGGTGCGTGCGAGCTAGCTAGTGCTACGCTGGAAGCGAGGCTCGGGCTAGTCCCGAAGCGTAGGCCGACACGGCCGGTCCAGCAGTGCGAGGTTTGGTAAAACAGTGCGCGCGAAGTCGGCGAAGCCCCGTTAGCAGTAACGGGCGAACAACGGCTGCTGCTGTACGCGGTGTTGCAGGTGTTGGGCTGAGGAAAGCCCTAAGGATCTTTACAGGGATGAACTCTGGGTAGGACTGTAATAGCGGAAGCGTTTTAATGAAGGGATTGTGAACCACCTTGCGCTAGTATGTGAGGGCAAAGTAGATTGATTAAAACAAGAAGGTACAAGATTATATAAGAGTACAAGGAATATGAAGAGGTACGGTTGTAACTACTTTACTGTTGCTGTTGCGGTTCGATACAGTGACGACTCGGGCAACTGCTCTGTAACGAGTCAGTTGTGTGTCCTTGCTGTCGCGCTGTTTTTGTCAGGTCAAAGGTCGCTGACCTTTGACTTTCGCGTAACCTCCAACAGTTGCTTCAACCTCCGAGGGTTGACTCGCTGGTGCCTCGATATGCTTTGCTTCGCTTGTGCCTTGGTGTTTCGACACGACAGAAGCGCTTAAGACCGATTGTTTCCAACACTCCCCTTCGCTTCTGAAGTGTCGCTGACGTGGCTCTGTTCAGTCAGCAGCATGCAGTATTCGAACTTCTGCTTTCCGAGCTTCTTGGTCAGGTAGTCAGCTGCCATCTCGGACGTGGGACAGTATGACAGCTCGAGCCTTCCTTTCTCGATCTCGTCCTTCACGAAGAAATATCGCAGGGCGATGTGTTTCGTCCTGTTCGCGAAGCCGTTCTTGTTGGCGATGCGAATTGCCGACTGGTTGTCGCAGAACAGAGTGAAGCTGGGTAACTGAGCCAGCTTCGCTTCTTCCAGCAGTTCGCGAAGGTAAAGTCCTTCCTTGGTGGCTGAACAGAGGGCAATATATTCTGCTTCGGCTGATGAGAGAGCTATTAGTTCCTGCTTGCTCGACTGCCAAGAGATAGGTCCGATAGGTTCGAGGCGGTAGATGTAGCCAGTGCGAGAACGCCTGTTGTCGGAATCACCAGCGTGATCGGCGTCGACGTAGCCGATCAACTTAGGCGGCGTAGTTGCGTTCTTGTAGTAAGTTAGACCGATCGTCGGGGTGCTAATAAGGTAATGAAGGGCGCGGTCGAGTTCTGCTAGATGTTCCGCTTCGGGCCTCTTGAGGTAGGTGGCGAGTTGGCTTGCAGAGTACGATAGGTCTGGGCGGCAGGTGACAGCTGCGAAGAGAAGGCAGCCCAGCTTTCTCTGGTAGTCGCGTATGCCGGCGGGCTTGAGTAGAGCGGAGCCTTCCTTGTTGTTTCCTGACGTGTAGCGGTACGGTGTAGAGATGATAGTTGGTGTAAGTGCGAAACGCTTGGCGATGGTGTCGGCGTATTTCGCGGCGCTGAGGTAGATGGCGTCTTCCTCTTCCCGGATGTTGAGCCCGAGGTACTGTGTAACGGTAGATGAGACTGTCAGTGTGAGATCCTGCTGTAGCTCCCCTTCGAACCAGGTGGTGACGCTGTCGGTTGAGCCGATGTAGAGGAGGTCGTCTACATAGACGATTAGTAGGATGTAGTCTGCGCCTTTCGTGAGTCGGTACATCCCCTGATCGTGAGGTAATTGCTTGAAGCCGATGCGAATGAGGCGGGCGTGTAGGTACTGCTGCCATAGCCGCGGAGCTTGCTTGATCCCGTAGAGCGACTTCAGCAGCTGACAGACTTGGTTTGGCTCCCCGTTGGTACCGTGCGGTAGTTCCACGAAAATTTCTGCGTCAACGGGTGCGTAGAGAAATGCGTTTGCGTCATCGATTTGCCGTAGCTTCTTTTTCTTCATGGCGGCGATCGCGAGAAGAATTCGGAGCGAAGTGTGTCGGCTGACCGGAGCGAAGGTTTCGGTGAAGTCTCGCTCGTGTTCTTGGTCGAAGCCACGCATGACCCTTCGTGCCTTGAATTTGTCAATGGTGCCGTCGGCCTTCGTCTTCACACGGAAGACCCATTTCCCGGTGAGAATGGTCTTGTTCCGTGCTACGCCGATGGGGACAATTTTCCACGTGTTGCGCTCCTCTAATGCCTTCAGTTCTTTGTCCATGGCTTCGCGCCATTTTTCCCTATGCTCCCCCCCAGAGCCTGCTGAACCGTCGCAGGCTCCTTAGGAACGTCTGTGCTGTGGACTGCGGTGACGAGCCCGAGTATCTGGAGTCCGCTCTGTGTGTAGCGGGGGAGTGACATGTCCGCGGGATAAGCAGCTTCGTCTCCCGCTTCTGGATCAGGTGCGAAGTTGGGTCCTATGCGTTCTGCTTCGTCGGTGTTTACTTGTGCAGGTTTAACGTAACCGTTGTCAGCGAAATGGTAGTAGGTTTCGGCGTTGATGCTCTCGCGTGGGTTTTCGTCGTCCATTGGCACGTTGACGGAGCAGTAGGGGAGGGGTCCGGCTTCTTCCGAAGCTCCTTCCACGTTCTGCTCGTCCCAGTCAGCTTCGTCTTCTGCCGAAGCGAAGGCTCGGTCTCCACGGAAGCCACCTGTGGGGTCTCGGTTTTCGTCCAGGTTAGCAAGGTACGTCTGCAGTGTGAGTCGCTCGTAGAAAATGACATCACGTGCTGCCACTGTTTCTTTTGTCTCGACGTCGAAAATCTTCCATGCGTTGTAGTGTTTTTCGATGCCCAGGTGTAGTCCCCACTGTGCCCGTTGGGAGAATCGTCCTGCTCGTGCAAATGGAGGTCGGTACTGTACCATGCAGCCGAAGACTCGTAACATTTTTGTGCTGCCCAATTTTCCTGTCCACAGCAGATGCGGTGATGTGTTGTTCGGAAGTGACGACGAAGAAAGCAAGTTGTGCAGCATCACGGCGTGGTCCATTGCTTCGGGCCACTGGTGGGTGGGTAGCCGCATGCCACGTAACAGTTTCCGCATGGTGTTCTGGAGGGTCCTGTTCATCCTCTCTGCTACACCCTGCTGTTGATGGGCGTAGGGGAGGGAAATGAGTCGCTTGATTCCTCTCTCTGCCAGATACTGCTTGAACCTTTGTGAGGTGTATTCTCCTCCCCCGTCTGACTGGAAGCTCTTTAGTTTGACGCCCGATTCCCTTTCTGCTACGGGGAGCCAGGCGACGAACGCTTCGAACGCCATATCCTTGCTTGGAAGATTCAGGTGCCAAACGTAACGTGTTGCGGCGTCGATGAACGTGATGGTGTAGTTGTACGCGTTCTGCCCTGGCTCGCGATTGTACAGGATGTCGCTGTACACCTTCTCGAGTGGCGCGTAAGCTGGTGCGCTTGGGTTATGGTGAGACGCGAACGGTCGATGTGGTAAGTCAGCTTCAGGACAGGTGAAGCACGTTTCGCGTACTCGTTGAAGTTCTCTTCCGTCGGTCAGTAGTAGTGAGTCCTTGTCAAGTACTCCTGCTCTTATCGTATTATTTAATACTGTGTTGCTTGGGTGTCCCATCCTTACGTGCCAGGTGCTTTCGTTGGCGCGATGTCCGGGTGATCGTCGGTACAGATCGGAGTTGGAGTAGAAGTTGGCGGTGAAGTTGGCGCTTCGATGAACTTCTCGTGGTGCTGGTTGTAGTTGTTGCGCGGGTGTCGGTGGTGTGTCGTCGACGAGGAGCGGTGCCGTTGAAGGACCAGCGATTGGTGTTGACGTTCCTGCTGCTACCGTTGATAGTTCTGCTACTGCCGATGTTGTCTCTGCTGCTGCCGATGTTGTCTCTGCTGCTGCTGATGTTGTTTCTGCTGCTGTCGATGTTGTCTCCGCTGCTGCCGATGTTGTCTCTGCTGCTGCCGATGTTGTCTGAATTGTTGCTAACGCCCTTGTTCTTTCTGCCTCAGGGATGGTGTGTGAATACCAGAATCCTTCTGGACTGAAGTCTGGATCAAGGTCTGGAGGGTGGGTCCAGGAGGTGAAAGTGACGATGCCGTCGCTGTCTGCTGTGCCAAGATCTGGGACAAAGTCAAGAACGAAGACGTTGTTTTTTAGGATCGCCTTTCCGATGTAGAGGCCGCCCTTCCCGTGGTACAGCTTAAATTCCTGGGTGGTGCTGTCTGCCTCGAGGTGAATGCCCTTCGCCATCAACTGACTGACGCTCAGTAAGTTGTAGCCGAGGCCTTCTGCGATTAGAACCTTAGACATTTGTAAAACGACATTTGTCTCTCGTGATTGAAGTTGTACCACGCCTTGTCGTCGTGTGCGCAGGTTCTGATTATTGGCGACGGTGATGACCACTTCGTGTTGAAGTTGATATTCTCGCTGCACGAAGCGTCCTGAGGAACACATGTGTTGTCCGCAACAACTGTCCAAGAACCACGTGTCCTTCCCGGATGGCTCGCTTTGAGCAATGGCTGCGTATGTTGGGTTCGGTTGGAGTGACTCGCGGCGAGGTGTGGTGTCGTCAAGTCGTTCTTCCGGTGAGTAGTATGGTGGTGACTCGGTGATGCAGGAGTCACTTAGTCTTGCCATGCAGCTGACGATGTTTCTTGCTCCTTGTGCAGGTGGTGTTGTTGACGGTTGCGACTGACTCGTGGGGTTCGCCTGCGTTGAAGCCACTTGGCTGCTGGAAGGTCGAAGCTGTCGTTGCGGTGGAGTTGACTGTTGTCGGTTCGGGCAGTGTGTGCGCGGGTGCCCTGACGTCTTGCAGATGTGGCAGAAAGGAGGTACGGACTTCGGTTGTTGTTGTTTGTAGCTGTTGTAACGTCGCTGAGTGTGGAACGCAAATTCCGGTGCTGATGTTTTCTTCTTGTGTCGTTCTTCTTGCAGGTCCATATCTTGCTGCTCGGCATGGATTTCGGCGCAGAGTGCTGCTTCAGAGATTCTTCCGTGGGCTCGGAGAATGGCCTTTGTGGCGCGCCATTGAGGACCGAGGCCACCGATGATGACTGTCACGAAGGCGTCTTCAGAAATCGACCCCCCGCATCGCAGAAGCTTGTCGCGCAACTCGCGACATCGACTGATATACGCCATTCCTTTCTCCCCTGGTTTCATTTCGACCGTTGTCAGTTGCGCCATTAACCGACTTTGACTTACGCTGTCTGTTGCTTGATACAGGCTCTTCAGGTGGTTGTACGCGAGCTCCGCGGAGTTGCCGTAACCCCGGTAAGACCGTATGTTCTGCTGTTGAGTTGGAGTGATGTTCCTCAGTAGAATCGTGTACGCCATCATCGACTGGTAGGTGTACTGCTGCTTCTCATACTGTGTGCCGTTCGTTGGATATGGCAGGGACCCATCGAAGAAGCCAAGTATCTGTGCGCCTTCCATCATTAATTCGAATTCAAACGACCAGGTGAAGAAATCCTTTCCATCGAAAGGCCTTGACGTCTGCATCTTCAGAACGTGCGCGAACTGCGACTGAACTTGTAGTGCGTCCAGTGAATTTTCCTGTCCAGGTGAGGGTTGCGGGTGTGGCATGAAGCTGATGGACCCACGCTCGTACGGAGCAAAGGTAGGCTGCTGCTGTTGATTTCCTCGTGCGTATGACGAGCCGTCGAGACTCATGGGGGTTGCTCCGTTGTTGTTGCTGTTGTGTGACTGCGCAGGTGCCGATTGCTGGTGTTGCTCGTAGAAGGACATGAAGGAGAAAAATTTCTCCATCATGCTTTGGTGGCACCGCCCGCTCATATGTTGCACCGCCCGCTCATACGCGACTGCACCGCACGCTCATTCCCTGCACCGCCCACTCATACGCTGCACCGCACGCTCATACGCTGCACCGCCCACTCATACGCTGCACCGCACGCTCATACGCTGCACCGCCCAGTCATACGCTGCACCGCCCACTCATACGCTGCACCGCCCACTCATACGCTGCACCGCCCACTCATACGCTGCACCGCCCACTCATACGCTGCACCGCCCACTCATACGCTGCACCGCCCACTCATACGCTGCACCGCCCACTCATACGCTGCACCGCCCACTCATACGCTGCACCTCCCACTCATACGCTGCACCGCCCACTCATACGCTGCACCGCCCACTCATACGCTGCACCGCCCACTCATACGCTGCACCGCCCACTCATACGCTGCACCGCCCGCTCATACGCTGCACCGCCCACTCATACGCTGCACCGCCCACTCATACGCTGCACCGCCCACTCATACGCTGCACCGCCCACTCATACGCTGCACCGCCCACTCATACGCTGCACCGCCCACTCATACGCTGCACCGCCCACTCATACGCTGCACCGCACGCTCATACGCTGCACCGCCCACTCATACGCTGCACCGCACGCTCATACGCTGCACCGCCCACTCATACGCTGCACCGCCCACTCATACACTGCACCAACGAGGGCTAGAACACCCTGCTGAACTGGCTTACAGGGGCGGGCATGCGGACACGTTGGGGCTAAATCAGAAGCTGCCCTTTCCCCTCCTCGTTTCACTCTCCCCTCTCGCTTCTCCTCTCTCCCTCCCCTTCTCTACCTTCACCCCCCTCCAGCTTACCAATGACAAGCTTCCCACCCAGCTCCCTTTCCCCTCATAATAGCCTGTTTCCTCAATCCCTCCCTCCTTCCACCCTCCCCACTCAGCTACTCAACGGCAAGGAGTGCGTGTTGACGGACACAGTGGGGTTAATTCATCCCCCCCCTCAGCTCCCTCTCTCCTCATTTCAGCTCATATTCCCTCTTCACTTCGCACCCCTTCATTCGTCCCCCCCAGCTACCCAACGGCAAGGAGTGTCTGTTGACGGACACGGTGGGGTTCATTCAGAAGCTGCCCACCCAGCTGGTGAGCTGCCCACCCAGCTGGTGAGCTGCCCACCCAGCTGGTGAGCTGCCCACCCAGCTGGTGAGCTGCCCACCCAGCTGGTGAGCGTCGATTGTTCCTTAAACAAATGAATGAGTCAGTATAAGCATTAAGTCGTCCCCACCTGCCTCTTATTCTTCACCACGTTCACCGCCCTTCACCCCTCTCCACCGTTTTGTACCCTCTTCAACACTCCTAAACGCGTCCGTTTGCAATGCCATGCCTCCTTGCCTGTGCCGGAACCAACCAACCAATGGGGTTGCGCCAGGTGGCAGCGTTCAGAGCCACGTTGGAGGAGATCACCGAGGCGTCGGTGCTGCTGCATGTGGTGGACGTCAGGTGAGCTGTCAGGTGAGCCGTCAGGTGACCTGTCAGGTGAGTTGTCAGGTGGGCTGTCAGGTGACCTGTCAGGTGAGCTGTCAGGTGGGCTGTCAGGTGGGCTGTCAGGTGAGCTGTCAGCTGATCTGTCAGGTGAGCTGTCAGGTGAGCTGTCAGGTGGGCTGTCAGGTGAGCTGTCAGGTGAGCTGTCAGGTGGGCTGTCAGGTGATCTGTCAGGTGATCTGTCAGGTGAGCTGTCAGGTGAACTGTCAGGTGAGCTGTCAGGTGAGCTGTCAGGTGAACTACACATTTTTTTTTCTTCCTACATTCTTATTCGCCCATCCCGTCATACTTACTCTAAACCTTTCCCTCTCTCTGCCCTTCACCTCTTCTGCCCCCCTCTCCCCCTCATTGAGCAGCCATCCAATGGCGGCGCAACAGGTGGCGGCGGTGCTGCAAGTGCTGGCAGAGCTGGAAGTCTCCCACATCCCCATGCTCACCGTGCTCAATAAGGTCTGCCTCTTTATATTCCATAAGGCCTGCCTCTTTATATTCCATAAGGCCGCCTCTTTCAGTCCATAAGGCCTGCCTCGTTGACTCAATAAGGTCTCCCACATCCCTATGCTCACCGTGCTCAATAAGGTCTGCCTCCTTGTACTCAATATGGTATGCCTCGCTGCAGAGTATGGACTCTGCTGAATATAACTGAAAGCCCTTTTTCCCCTTTTTCCCTCTAAAAAAAAAGCTACACTGTACTAAGTGTACGCAGTAACGTCTGCGCACCAAAACAACTTCAAAACCCGGTTATCACCTGAGCTGCACACATCCACTCCACAGCATCGCACCGGCAGTCCCTTATCTCTCCCCTGCTTCCCACTGCCATCCCCAGGTAGACCAAGTGTCCCCTGGTTTTCTGCAGCAGCAGCAGCGCCAGCTGGAGACCATTTTGGACCAGAACTCGGGCGGCAGAGAGAGCAGTGCGGGCGGCAGAGAGAGCAGCGCGGGCGGCAGAGAGAGCAGTGTGGGCGGCAGAGACGGTGGTGGGAGAGAGGATGGGCGGCACAGGATGGTGGCGGTGTCGGCTGTGACTGGCGAGGGCATGGATGGGCTGTTTGAGGAGCTGGAAAAGATGGTCAACGTGAGTCAATGCTGGTCAACGTGAGTCAATGCTTGTCAACCGAGTCAATCCCAGGGGTCAATGCTGGTAGCGCTGGTAATCTTTTTTTGTATTTGTTAGCACATCAATACCACTCATGGATGCATGCGAATGCCCCGGATCCCATGTCCCGCTCCCAGGGCCTGCTGGTGAGCATCGAAGCTATCATCCCGTACCAGGCAGGAGGGGCATCTGAGAGTCGACTCAAACGACATGCGTGCATGAGAGCAAATATGCCCTCCTGTGAATGCCCCTCTGCTCCCATGTGTGTGTGCGCTGCTCACAGGGCTTGCTGGTGAGCATAGAAGCCATCATCCCGTACCACGAGGGGCATCTGCTGGGTTGACTCAACAATATGCCTGCATAGTATCCCATGTGTGCGCCTGTGAATGCCCCCCTGAATGCATGTGCGCCTGTGAACCTATGTGTCGGTTGCAGGGCCTGCTGGTGAGCATAGAAGCTATCATTCCGTACCAGGAGGGGCATCTGCTGGGGCTCGTGTACCAGCTGGGCGCCGTGGATAGAGGTGAGAGGAGCGGTTGAAAGTGGTTGAAAGGAGTGAGGGGCATCTGCTGGGGCTCGTGTACCAGCTGGGCGCTGTTGATAGAGAGGTGAGAGGAGCGGTTGAGAGTGGTTGAAAGGAGTGAGGGGCATCTGCTGGGGCTCGTGTACCAGCTGGGTGCGTGGATAGGGAGGTGAGGGGAGGTGCGGGGAGGTATGGGGAAGTTGGGATACTGAAAGGAGCGAGTGGAGAGACCAGGAGGGTCATCTGCTGGGGCTCGTGTACCAGCTGGGCGCTGTTGATAGAGAGGTGAGAGGGGGTGAGGACAACTTGGGGTGGTGGACAGAGAGGGGTGGGGGAGATGGAGCTGTTGCAAGATGGCAAGGGAAGAGAGCCGGAGGGCCACACAGGAGCACCTCCTCACTGCCCGTTGCTGGCAGAGCAGCAATCCACCCTCCCTCTTTCATCTCCTCTTCTGCCTCTCCATCTGGTGCTGAAGGCACCTTGCTGATGGCAATTGTTCCACTACGGGTGGCTCAGCTGTTGCTGTTCTGCCTCTTCATCTCTCCCCTCCCCTTTCCCCCCTCTTTTCTCCTCCTTTTCCCGTCCTTCGCCCACACAGGAGCATCTTCCTGAAGGCACGTTGCTGTCAGCACATGTGCCTCTACGGGTGGCGCAACTGCTGTTTCGCCTCTTCATCTCCTCTTATCCCTTCTTTCCTGCTCCCCTACCCACACAGGAGCATCTTCCTGAAGGCACGTTGCTGTCAGCACATGTGCCTCTACGGGTGGCGCAACTGCTGTTTCGCCTCTTCATCTCCTCTTATCCCTTCTTTCCTGCTCCCCTACCCACACAGGAGCATCTTCCTGAAGGCACGTTGCTGTCAGCACATGTGCCGCTGCGGGTGGCTCAGCTGCTGCTGCCGTACCGCTGGACTGCAGAGGAGTTCAAAACAAGGGATGCCCCTGTGGCATGAAAGGGTGTTTATCACTTTGTTGCTTGGCTTTCGAGAAGGCTCAGCTGCTGCTGCCATACTGCTGGACTGGCAAGGTGTTTAAAACAAGGGATGCCCCTGTGGCATGAAAGGTTAATCATCAATCCGTTTTTTGAGAGGCCTCAGGAATACCGGTATACGCGTTGCTGTCGGCGCATGTGCCTCTACGGGTGGCTCAGATGCTGCTGCTGTACCGCTGGACTGCCAAGGAATTCAAAACCAGGGAAGCCCCTGCAGCTTGAAATGTTGAATACTGCTTGCTCACGTGGAACAACACTATACCCATTGTACAAACGAGTGTAATTGCGAAATCACTGTATACAGTAACCTATGGGAAGCAAGTACACCATTTGTGACACCAGTGCTGATGTGTTTAGCTGTGAATCTTGATGGTCTCTCCACACACTTGGGCAGGCCCTCATGCTCCAGCGGGTGGTGCTGGTGGGAGGCAGGAGAGAGGAGGGGAGATAGTCAATCAGTCTCTTGAATCGGACTGCCTGGAAGCACGCATTCGAGGAGGTATGCAGAGGCTCAAGTGGTGGTACAGGAGAACAAGGGCAGAGAGCAGAACACACCAAGGTTCAAGTGGTGGTACAGGAGCAAACAACAAGGGCAGAGAGAAGAAAAGGGTAGAGAGAAGAAAAGAAAAGGGCAGAGAGAAGAAAAGGGCAGAGAGAAGAAAAGGGCAGAAGAAGAAAAGGGCAGAGAGAAGAAAAGGGCAGAGAGAAGAAAAGGGCAGAGAGAAGAAAAGGGCAGAGAGAAGAAAAGGGCAGAGAGAAGAAAAGGGCAGAGAGAAGAAAAGGGCAGAGAGAAGAAAAGGGCAGAGAGAAGAAAAGAAAAGGGCAGAGAGAAGAAAAGGGCAGAGTGAAGAAAAGGGCAGAGAGAAGAAAAGAGAAGGGCAGAGAGAAGAAAAGGGCAGAGAGAAGAAAAGGGCAGCTGCAGGGTGAAGACGAGGAAAGGAGCAAGGATAAAGCTGCAGCGGATGGCAAAAGTGAATATTCTGGGGTTGGGAGTGGGCGTTGGGGATGCATGAGCAGAATATAGGTGCTGACATGGGATGAAAGGAAATACAATAAGTGCATTGAAACAACAGGTGCCAGGTGCAACGACAGCACCTGGCGCCTTGTCTTGGCGTCAGGTGATTCCAACAGAGAGACGGCGGCAGTAATGCCGCCCGCATCTGCGACGGCCGTAGCATGTAGCAGCGAGTGGCGTGCCGCATCACTCAGCACTGAGAGGAGAGGGCTCTCCGCGCCACAGCCTGCTCCTACCATGTCTCACCACTCCGCGCCTCAGCCTCAGCCTCTCAGCCTCGTGCTGCCATGAAACACGGGGAGATGAGAGTCACGGGAACGTGTGATGTACGGCCAAGGTAGTCGAGAAGATGAGAGGTAAAGGGCAAAGGGAGGAACGCAGGACGCAGGCCGTGAGATAGGAGGGGGCAGAACGCAGGACGTGAGATAGGAGGGGGCAGAACGCAGGACGCAGGACGTGAGATAGGAGCAAAGGACAGAACGCGGGATGTGTGGAGAGGCAATCAGATAATGAGAAAAGACATGATTGCCGACCACGTGTGCGACACATTCGCCAGGCGACCCATCAACAGCGTCGCAGCGGATCGCACGGACGCCATGCTGTCCTGCGCGAGCGGCAGCAGCAGCTGCTGCAGCGCGCCGAGCGACAGCAGAGCCTCCGGGTTCGGCGGGGGAAGAAACGCCGGCGAAACGCGTTCTGTTTCAATTCAACTAAAGTACTGGGTTCGCGGGGTTCGCGGGAGCATGCTCCCGTATCGGCGAGCTGGCGAATCGCAAAAAAGAAGTCGAAATGCGCCACGAATTCGAAGATCGACGCTTCGAGACTGAGAGAAGCTGAGACTAGACTGCGAGAGGGACTGAGACTCAGGAGCACCTGAGACGAGACCGCGAGTTCACCGAGTTTCATGACGAACTGCGCGCGCGTCGCGGTACGCTTCCATTACCGCCACCGCGGCTGACGCGAGGTTTGGAGTTATGACTCACTACGAAAAAGCGTAACTCTTATGTCCTAGCCATATCTTTCACCTAATATGTTTCACTACAGAACTCTGTCCAAGGTACGAAAGTTGCTAACAGTACAGGTGATTGAAAGTACAAAGAGTATTTCATTATATAGAGAGTTACAAGTCAGAACCAAGAGTTCCTAAGCTATCTAAGCTGCCTAAGCCAAGTCTAAACAGCTCTACTTGAGCCTTCACAGCAGCGCCTCGACTCCAAAGCAGCTTGCCCGTCTAACTTCATGTCTTGGTATCTTCGTATCTTCTTGTCTTGTTGACCCCTCAGCTTGGAAGTCTTCTTCGCCTCCAGAGCAGCTTGGAAGTCTTCTTGACCCCTCTTGGCCGTCAGAGGCAAATGCCCCTGACGTTACACCCACGCACCACGATGAGGTGAGGGTCATTCGCGTGGGGTCTGTTTGGGAGGGAGGGGGGGGGGTGTGGAAGGGCTGGAAGGGAGGGAAGTGCTTGGGAGGGGGGGAACGGTTAAAATTAGTGACGGGCAGATGAAAATAAACACATCGAAATTGACGATAGGTTCCCCGTTGTCAGAAATGTTGTCAGAATGACGGCCCAGCCGTCAAGAGGACGGCCAGCCGTCAAGAGGCATACCTGAACACACCTGAACCCATACCATCGCCCATGTGTAAGTGTGCCTAAATCGAGCCTAGGCTAACGCCACCTGAACCCATACCATCGCCCATGTGTTAGTGTGCCTAAATCGAGCCTAGGCTAACGCGCTCCTAATCGTCCTGTACCCACTAGCACCCTCTTACAAGCCTGGCGTTTGCGCTGGTTGCTCGCGCTTGCGCTGGTTGCTCGCGCTTGCGCTGGTTGCTCCCGCTCCCGCCAAATCTGCTCTGCAGGAAAGGGCGGGACGGGAGGGGAAGTCAAACTCCCCCAAGCTCGCGCCTTGCTCCTCGCTCTGACTCCTCGCCCCAGCCAGCTCCTCGATCCGCGCTCCACGTTTGTGAAGCCCCCCTCGGGACTTCTGCACCACAGACGACTAAAAAAAGGGAATTAGATATTTTGAAAACGAAACGGCAGAGAGCAGCGCAAAATGCGACAGCGAAAAGGCGACGAGCAGAAAGGCGACGAGCAGAAAGGCGACGAGCGGAAATTTGACGACAGAGCACCACAGCAGAGAGAAGCGCCGCCATGCACCGTGCGCCGCGATGAGGTGCTCTGATGCCCCGCGTGCTCCGATGCCCCACCGCGCGCGCGTAAGACGTCCTCGAAGAAGCGTCGCCACGCGGCCCGCGAGCTCCCATCCCCGCTTCGCCTGCGCTAAAGAAGAACGCACACAAAAAGAAGTTAGTTTCATAATCGAATAATAAACGTAACAAAATCCGACGGCACTTACCATGCAAGGGAGACCACCTCCCCGCGTTACCTCCCTTGCTTGGCGCTGGCTCCCGCGTTTGCTACCGCTCCCGTTGCTCCTGCGCTGAAGAAAGCACACAACGAAAGAAGTAATAAGAATCGGGAAAAGATAAAGAAAAGAACTGGAACTGAAACTCACCAAGAATGAGAAGTCCTCGTACTAGCTTGACCTCCCGTCGCCGCCAGCGCCGTTGATCCCCGCATCGCCTGCGCTAAAGAAGAACGCACACAAAAATAAGTTAGTTTCATAATCAAAGAATTAACTTGACGAAATCCGACGGCACTTACCAGGCAAGGGAGACCACCTCCCGCGTTACCTCCTTTGCTCGGCGCTGTCCCCGCGAGCTCCCCCTCCCGGTACCGCCGCTCCTGCACTAAGACGAAGCACACGAAAAGAAGTTAGAATCTGGAAGAAAACGAAAGCAGAAAACCGGAAGTGATACTTACCACGTTGACGTTGCCGCCAAGCGCAGAGAGAAGCACCGTGTGTCCCGCCGCGAGACACGCCTCTCGCCCGCGAGACACGTCGTGCGACCGCGACCGAAGAAGCGTCGCCGTGACTCGCGCCACGCGTCCCCACGCATCGCCATCCGTCCTCGCCACGCGTACGCTGGCTGACGGTCAGATTCTGCAAGTCGTTGAGAAGGAGAAGGAGAACGAATCAGAACGAGATCGTCGAGAAGGAAAAGGAGAATTTGCTGAAATCAGAACGAACAGAATAAAAAGAATCCGCTGAAAAGAATCAGAACACGTTACCTCAGCTTGGGCGAAGAGTGCCGCGCGACGGACGAAGTGACGCCAGCCGTCGGTAGAGGCCTCGTCGCTGACGGTAGAGGCCTCGTCGCTGACGGTAGAGGCCTCGTCGCTGACGGTAGAGGCCTCGTCGCTGACGGTAGAGGCCTTGTCGCTGACGGTAGAGGCATCGGCGCTGACGGTAGATGCCTCGTCGCTGAGCCCCGCCCAAAGGACTGTCGCCACGAGGCATTCCTCTCCATTCGTCGCCGTCGCCATACGTCGCCGTGTGTCGTGCGCGTCAGGTTCTGCAGGAAAGCAAGGCGACGCGTTAGAATGAGGGCGAAAAAAAATAAATCTGAAGCTGCCATGACGTGTTGAAAACGGATCGCTAAACTGCACATTACCTCAGCTTAGAGCGAGGCCGTCACCGTCCCCTCGCGACGTGAGACAGGAGAGTCTTTGTCGCCGTCCATATGTGCGTTCACGCGACCAAGGCGGTCGCCATCTTCAGTCGCCAAGACGGTCGCCAAGACGGTCGCCAGGATGGTCGCCAAGATGGTCGCCAAGATGGTCGCCAAGACTGTCGCCGGGATCTGCAGGTTCATGGCAGCACGTTAGTACTTCGCTCACGGGTAGACTTATAAAGAGAGGCGGCACAACGGGTGGACTTCACTCACCCCAACTTGAAGCAGAGTTTGCGAACGCATCTCGGTGCATCGTGGCAAGGTCGAGGTCGCATCGTGGCGAGGTCGCAGCTCCCGCGATTGACGCATCTCTTGTGGTCCTCCGCAATTGAGCGTCGCATGGGCCGTTCTTCGCGTGGGCCGTTCTTGGT